TTATGGGAGTCTGTCCACTGGGTGCAAATCCCTGCTCTGCCCACTGTGTAAACCTGAGCCAGTTTCTTCACCTCTCTGCACCTCAATTTCTCTCTACCTCCCTCAAAGAACTGTTGTGGGAACTAAATGAACTATTCTTGGACTGTGACATGGAAAACAGTAGGTGTGGCCTGTGATAATGAAATCAGTACATTAAGTTAGCAAATGCACATGGTCTGTGCTCAGTCAATAACTTCCGTTTTAATGAGATTTCAATTTTTCTTTATAAGTAACTATTTTTAAGTGATTTTTATTAGGTAACTTTAAAAGGCAGTAAACCACTAATCTGTGGCCTTTGAGGTCTGGCTTCTTTCACTCAACATGATGTTTTTGAGGCTCTTGCATGTCGTAGTGCGCATGAGAACGTCATTCCTTTTCACAGCCAATCAATGTTCCTTTACGGATAGACCACATGTTCTTTATCCATTCACCCCCTAATAGACATTGAGGTTGTTTGCATTTTTCACTCTTGTGAATCGCGCTGCTATGAACATTCATGTAGGAGTTTAAAGCATAGCAGCGGTTTCCAGGGACTGGGGGAAGGGGAGATGGGGAGTGACTGCTAATAGTTGTTGGGTTTCCTTTAGACGTGCTGAGAAGGTTCTGGAACTAGGTGGAGGTGTTGGTTGCAGAACATTGAATGTATTTAATGCCACTGAATTGTTATAAGAAGGAGAAAATAGTCAACTTTATGTTCTGTGTATTTTACCACAGTAAAAAACAATAGGAAAATGTAATGAATACCCTATTAAGTGCGCTCTTGACCTTGATCAAGCCCTGACAGTTTGAGAACAAGACATAACCAGACGTTTGGTGACTGGAAGCTGCATTCCCCAAATGTCATCAGTTTCCAGAGTTCCTTGGCCTCCCTCCTTTGGAGTCCCTTGTTTCTTTCCCTCACTTCTGGGTCAGTACCTGCCCTAGGTTTCCAGAGTGGTAGCTCCAAAAGCCCCACTCAGTCCAGATACTCAGAGATCTTGCAGAGGGTGAGTCAAAGTCAATGATATGGAAACAAGAACCTCCAAGAAAAGGTTGAATGGGGAGAGCAGGATCCTGTGGGCTGTGCTCTCAGCTCCCCATAGCTCTCCACCTTCTAGTGCAAGGGTTCTCAATATTTGGGGCCAGGTCATTCTTTGCTGTGGGGGTGGGAGTTCGTCCTGTGCACTGAAGGTGTTTAGCAGCATCCCTGGCCTCTACCAGCTGGACGCCAGTCGCCGCTGCTCAGTAGTGACAACCAAAAATGTCTCCAGACATTGCCAATGGCCCATGGGGAGCAAAGCTCCCAGTTAGAAAAAATGGTCTAGAGAGTACAGTCAGCATGTTCTATCTGACAGGATCTCAGTTCTTCCCCTTCTCCAACTGGCAAACACCTGTTCATCTTTGAGACTCAATTTAAATGTCACCTGCACAGTGCAGCCTTTCTGGACATCTCTTCTCCAAATAGATTTAGTTACTCATTCCTGTGTTCTTCCAAACTTCTGAGTGAGTTTGGAGGTCCTAGCATCTTACATTTTCATGACCAATATAATAA